ACACACACACACACACACACACACACACACACACACACACACACACACACACACGCACACACACACACACACACACACACAGAGACAAACAATCTCAATTAATTTGTTGTCATTCTGAGAATTATATAACCTATCTTTGCCCTTGGGGCATTTTTACCTGTGCCACGTTCCTGAGAGCTTCTCTCTCCAGGGTCCAGCTGGCGCAATCCCGCTTCTCCGCAGAAAGTTGCAGACTCAGCTGCGCCATCTGCAGGTGGCTTTTGTGTAGCTCCAGCTCCCCCAGCTGCCTATGAAATCCCTCTGCCTCGCGTTTGCTCTCCTCCAGGAGGGCCTGCAGGCTGCGGACCTCTGACTGCAAGGCCTCGCGTTCAGCCTGCGGGGAGGAGGACGAACTTCAACAAAATGGCTTCTGCCGTGATGTTGCAGGTCGGAGGACTTTACAGACCTCGAGCAACTTTATCTTTTCTTGATTGAGTTTTTTCTGACCGGATAATTGAAAAAACATCTCCTTAAATACCTCCTTCACCCTGCAAGGGGAAGACTTTGAGTAAAAACAAACACACACAAAAAAAGAGTAACCTAGAGTAACAGTTACATGTAACACGCAAAAGTGCCCGCAAGCTCCCAGATGCCAAAGTACCTGCTTAAAATTGAGCGTGTTGTTGTGTTGCTTGAATATCGAAATCACAGCCGAGATTTTAAAGCAAAAAGAAATTTTTTTTTGTGTCATTACGTCATGATGAGTGCACACTGACAAAATAATTACAGATCTGGGAAACACTCACCAAATGATTTCATTTGACATGTGCCTCAATGTGGTTTGTTACAGGATACTAAGCCCGGCTGCCAAAAGCAAAAAAATAAAAAGAAAAAACTGACACCCCCCATAAAAATGCCTACAATTGCCTGACCAATGTGACCTTAAGAAACAAGTGAGCCGAGTCGTATGACTCAACTCACTTCACAACAGGCTGCAATTTGGCAAATAGAATTAGTGAATGCTTTTCAAAAGAAGCTTCATGCTGTTTACCGCTCAGCTAAAAGTTACTGTCACACTAAACATAATGTGAAGAGAATTACTCTTTGCGTATTTCCAACAACCTCATAACCGATATCTGAACGCAAAACATGCAGCAACGCAGACCATACAACAATACTCACGGACATATATTCTTTATCTTTTGCAAAGAACGACTAATAATACCACTGTATGGAGAAGCTCAGCCTTCAGTACACTGGCCCGAGGTGGCCAAGGCACGCACGCCAGAATGAGCAGCATGAATTATTTTTTCATTAATTTCATTTCATGAAGTCCTTTTTTTGTATGTTTATATACATGATACAAAAATCGCTCCATTGTGATGTATCACTTCAACATACTTGACCTTGGCACCAATTACAACTTTCCTATTTTACCAGCGACCTGGCAGCAAGTGAAACTGAAACGCTAAATGCGACGCGACAGAGGTTCACTGTACAAGTATCTGTCGGCATTTTCCAAGACTTGCCTTTCCAACTCCACGTTTCTCTTTTTCTCCCGATCAGTCAGCACCTTGAGTTGACTCAGTTCAGAGTTGAGATTCTCCTGACTGCTTTCAACATCCTGCATGGCAACATATGAATCTTAATCAACAATCAAACATGGTGACGGTCTGTATTAGGTCTTACTTTGAGGTTTTCTTCCATCTTCTTCAAGGCGTCACATTTGCATGTCAGGTTTTGACGGAGCTGCTCGATCTCCTCTTTCAAGGCGTCCCTTTCGCTCTCCCATTCCTCCTCTATTTCCTGTCTGGCCTCCTGCACGGCCTGCTGCAGCTGCGCCTTCTCCCTCAAGCACTCCTCCAGCTGACTCTGCGGACGGCCAATAATTCGCAGCAAATTTCAAGTGTCGCAGCAAAGTGGACGGTGAGCAGCTTCCTTCCAGCTTCCCACCTGCAGCAACTGAGCTCTGGGGACCACCAGGAGCAGCTCCTCATCATCCTCATCATCACCTGCTCCTTCTTCTTCTTCATTTCGCTCCTCACTCAGGGTCTCCAGCTCATCCAGAGGTTTGGGGGAGCAGAAGGTGAAGGGTTGGCTTTGGGCGCAAACTTGCCCCATCTTGTCGACGTAGACAAAGTGGTACTCTGCCGTGCTGGGGCGAGGTAGGTAGAAGGCTGCCAAAAACAGCAACATTTCCTCTCATAATGTATGTGACCTTTATTTACAGAGTGCTTCACTTTTACAAAACCACGGAGGAACTCTTTGCAGTATTTGATATGGACCTTGAAAAAGGGAACAGCAGTCGACAGCGCTTCTTTCAGTGTAGCCTTCGGGGACAAGCGACCAAGAGTACGTGTGGTACTCGCGAAGTGACGACCATCCCACCTACATTATGGAGGAACAAAACCACTAAAATGAGGTACACCGACACATCAAATGACAAACAATACAAAATTGTATACTGCCCTGTTCAAACGCTTGGGATTTGTGATTTTGATACATGAGACCAAGATAAATCATTTCAAATCATTTTTCCACCATTAATGTGAATTATAACCTGTAGAAGTCAATTGAAAAGAAAAATCTTTTAGCAAAGTAAATGTAAACAGTTGATACAATGTAGTTGCCAAAACTAATGAAATAACTACAGCTAAAATGTAAAAAACTTTTTCGTCAATGAAGTAAAATAAAAACGAAAATGTTTTTTTTTTTAAATAGAAACTTTAAAAAGTATGATGTTAGCAAAATGTTGAGCTTTGATCCTCTCCTCTTTCATCTATAACTGCTTCAAACAACAAAGTGTACGCAGGAAAAGTGATTAAAATTGCACGACTGTCTGTGTCTTATTGTTGTGTTGTGTTGTTTTGTTATTTTGACTTCAAGATGGCACTGCGAGAGTGGCTGCCTTTCCAGCAGCTCCTATATTTTGTTTCCTCTACTTCTTCCTTTCATAACTTTGCTGCTGTGAATTGGGAATTTCTCCATGGCGATACTAATAAAGGTTTTCTTATCTTATCTTAAAGGCAGGGAAAAGAACATCCAAAATATAATTGGGATTAATCAGGGGCACTTTAAATGGTGGTAGCAGGTTTTTCCATGTGCTTGTCGCTATGACAACACCTTGAAGATGCCAATCCAGTCTCTGCTGCTCCACTGATGGGCTGAAGTCAGGCTGTAGTGACACTCGACCCTGGTTTGGGGGAAGTAGCGCTGACCCACATTTCGAAACACCACCGCGGACTCTGGATTGTTTTTCTCCATGACGGTGACAAGGAGGACGGCACACGCTGAAGACATTTGAGAAACACTGTTAGGCAACGCAGCATGGCCTCCCACAACGTGTTTATAAACAACATGCCCACACTGCCACCATACTGCTTGTTATTTGCTATAGATAGATAGACAGATAGATGCAATACATCCTGATTTATGTAGCGCTTTCACAACAGCTACGGCTGTAACAAAGCGATTAACAAAACTTTATTAACATAAAGTAAAATAATAAACACAACACATAATTTTCCCTCATTCGCTTTGTTGTTTGAAGCAGTTCTAGATGAAAGACAGATAGATAGAATTTTACTCTTTACCATACCATAAGTTTTAAAAAACACCTATTACCGCTCAGTTTTTCCGTTTCGAGTGCTGTTGGGCTAAGAGTCATGTGAGCAGTTAGGTTGAGACTCGTTTTATTTCAGTATTTTTTTTAAGTATCTTAATTTCGTTTAAAATCTTACCTTAAAATAGTCGTTTTCTCCAAGACGTTCACGGCCGTGCCCGCAGCAGCACACTGACTCAAATTGACCAGGTGGATCATGGGAAATGTAGTTCACTATCAATAAAGGTGACGGCGTCATCCTTGTGGATACATAATCCGCTGTTTACTTGCTTCTTTCATTTCATGGCAGTAGCAGAAGCTTACCAGGAAAAGTGGCTGCGTGGTTTATGACACGTAAACACGTCCTAGTGAAAAGACATTTATACACCTCTAATCATTTTCACTATTATTTTGAGACCAAGGGCAGCCTTCAAAAATCTCCAAATACAACACAATCAAATGGGAGACTTGCTTTCAATTATAATGAAGTGAATAATGTGATTTGACCTTCATTTTTAACTTACTAAATTTTAGAAATTTTCAGAGAAATATTGGCAACTAGTTAGCAATCAGCCACAAGCCACATTTTGTCCACTATTATTGACAAGCACAACATTACAAATGTCATTTCAAACAGAATGTTCACTGAATTCAGCCAAGACATAGTCCTAATTTACAGCAAAAGGATGAGAGAATGAGTACATTTGTTTTGAAGTTTCAATAAAAGGGAAGTGATATTTTTAAGTTCAAGCCTGTCATTAAAATTTGCTTTGAAGTTTCACTAAAAGGGAAATGATATTTTAAAGTTCAAGCCTGTCATTAAATAAATGTATGGATTTTTTTAAATAAAAATTTTACAGCTATGTGGCCCTTTGCCTACATTTGAATGGCGTGGAACAAATGTGGCCTTCTAATTTGTAAAAATGATAAATAATACATGTTATTGTAAGGAGGTGGCATTCATGCAAAACCTAAGACCTGATCAATCACAGAAATGAATGGATGTATGGATTCACAGAATACAATAACCATTATATTTGTAACAAATACAAGTCGATGACATTTAAATACAAAGAAGTGGTAAAATTGTAATGCAAAAAAAAAAAACACAACAATCATATAACAATATAACATGAGTGTATGTAAAAGAGCATACACAACTGCCTGTAACAAAGACATATATTTGTGTACACTTTATGTATGCATCTCACCCAAAATTAGCTGGGATGGAATCCAGTTCACCCTCCACCTGAATGAGGTTTTCTGCTATGAAGTCTCTTGCGTGTGAGACGATTCTGGCCATGTGTTGTTACTGAACAAAGAGAGGATGCCCAGTTCTGCTAGCTTAGCTCTAGCTACACTCTCCCAGCCCTTATTGGCCAGAGGGTTCCGAGGAGAAGGATGCATGATGCCCTCTACTCGCACGTCCATACCAGCTGTGGCAAGGGCGCGGCGTGCCCGCTGTTCCGCCACCCTGCCCACACCGATCACCATGGAGACACCGAGGGCCTCCACGGCTTGACACAGGGCAATGTCACACAAGCGCAGGAGCTCCTCACGCTCACGGGCATTGAGCTCGGGGGGGGTCAGGTTCTTCCCGGCGCTGCTCATGAAAATTAGAGGGCAAAGGTTGTGCACAAAACAGTGGCGGAAGAACGCCGCAGGCTCGCCACACAACTTTCTGAAAAGGCCCCAGAAGCGGGCGCCGCTCACTTCGCTCTGAGTGCAGGCCAGGCCGCTGATGCGGCGCTTTGGATGCTCGTTGTCAGGGCGACCAACCGCCCCTGTGATCTTCAGCCAATTAACTACTGACTTCACTTCGCCAAAGGGAACCTGTGACAGATGAGATGGAGATTTCCACAGTGAATTTATCTATTTCAACATCTGACAAATAGAGCATCTATTAAACTAAAACAGACAAGTAATGTGGCTAAAAGCAGCCAAATCTGCGAAAGAGTACAAGAATAAAGTAATCATCTTCAAAGTCATAGGTATTTGAGATACAAAGTCATATCTCTCAGAGTAATGTTTTATGAGAAAGTCATATAGGTACAGTCTTACTTTTAAGAACATTTGAAAACCCGCCCACACAAGTGGTGCAACACCTTAGCCAAGCATCCATTCTCAAGATATTACGGCTTTAATCTTTTACCCAAAATATTTGGATTTACTCAAAAAAATATACAACTTTGTTCTCATAATATCAGGACTTTAAAAAAAATATAGAGTATAATCTCCAAAATGTCCAATGTTTTATCCAAAAATACAAAGCTTTATTATTGTACGATAATGACTTTATTCTCAAAATGTGACTTTTCTTGAAAATATAACATATTTAAAAATATACCACTTTTTCTTGACAAATTACAACTTTATTCTTATATCACCATTTTAATCTTTATATTTGATTTTAATCTAACATATAGCTACATAGAAATATAGGTATATATAAACTTTTTCATACTTTTTCTCGACATTGAGGATACAACATTACGACTTTCATCTTGCAAATATGACATTCAGTCTGAAAAAAAACGTTATGCAAGACTATCGTATTTTTTTCCAGCTTTCACGGTAGCCCTCCTGGCTTTCTGACACAGTAGAGTACCGGGACTGCATTACATGATGTCTTTTCATTTGTTTTGGTGGATTAATATTTCATTTAAGTATCATCTGTGATAAACGTACACTCCCTGCGGAAAGCATGCAAGAAATATTGCGCGGTCAACATTTCGCTTTTTCATCAAAAAAAAAAAAAAAGCCAACAATGCAATGTAGACGTTCCTAGTTTTGTGTAGTATGCAATGAAGATGACCGATTACGTCATCAGGAAGACTGGATGTCCTGATGGTAATTCTAAAATAAACTCACCCCCGTCTGGGCCATGCCGAAAGGTCCAGGATTCATGCCTAAAAACAAGTAGCGCTGTCCCGCCTGGCAGTACTTTTCCACGTAGCATCGGTGCGTGTCCCACGCGTATTCTAGTGGGTTGTACAGGTAACGGACGGGTTCTCCGAAACTGAGTCCACGGAGGTGCGCGTTGAGCTCCAGTTCGATCTGTAGGAACCTGCATGAGGGGGTCGCTTTCGGCTCCGGAGTCCACTTCAATGCGACGCTTTCTTTTGAATCCTGCTCGTTTCCATCACCTCGCGACATTGCGCTGTCATTCAACATGGTGGTTGTTTAATGCGCATTAGTGTCCATGATATTTCCAAGATACTGTTTTGTCTCGTTGTTTTGGGATCTGTTTATTTCCCGTGTGCGTCTTGTTTTACGCAAGACGACAACCATTACTCGAGGGCAGTACTGCCCTCTCTTGGCCTAATATGTACCACATCCATGCTAGGATGAGTTGAAACACAAACTATATGCGTCAATGCTTAAGATCTGACGCTTGACTGAAATGCTCTGGAATTAATTGAAAAGGAAGAAATATATGGTGAGACTGAAAATCAAACGTTAACAGTTCGGGGTATCACCCGCCCACTGCCCTAAAACAGCTGGGATCGGCTCCAGCACCCCCGTGACACTCGTGAGAATAAAGAGATTAGAAAATGGATTAGATTAGAGAATTTGATTAAAATTCTATCTGTACTTAAACGGGATGTCAACTCAAAAGTTTTTTTCTTTACAATATATTCTACATGTACCTCCGCGAGCCTGAAAACGGCATTCTGATTAATATTGCATGTGTTTAAATTTGAATGACGTTGGGAAAATCCACTAATTTTTATCCATTTCAGAGGGCGGCCATTTTGGCACTTGCAGAAAATGACATCACAATCGCTCAAGGAAGCGACCAATCACGACTCACCATTTGGTCAGGTGACGTTTGGAAGCTGAGCCGTGATTGGTAATTACCCGAACACTGAGCAATTCTGCCATTTTCTTTCCACAGCAAGTGGCAAAATGGCTGCTCCTTTGATGGATAAAAACTGGTGATTTTTGCTGCTTGATTCTTATTCCACAAACACAACATTAATCAGAATATCATGTTAGGAATAGCTATATAGAACACATTTGAGTTGAAAATGAAGATACCCTTTGAATGGAGGGGAAAAAAATTAACAGATTTTAAAATAATCAAATGGTAATCAGATGTGAGTAAGATACCCTTTGAATGGAGGGGAAAAACTAAGATTTTAAAATAATCAAATGGTAATCAGATGTGAGCAATTGCAGTAATGACACAGATGTCCTTAACAAATGTTTTTATTTCAGCATAATAGTAAGAAGCCTCTCCTCCGATTTCCATACGGTTGAAACTAATTGGATCACAAGGGTACATTATTAGTTAGCCCATTTTACAATAATTATTGTAACAGTTTTAGGAAGTTACTTGTATGCACTCATTTTTCTACACAAAATAATCAATATCAAGATTCTATTATTTCAACTGAGGACCATAACTGCATGCAAGACTAAAAAAGAAAACAACTAATCTGTGATAGCTACCGTTATGTCATCGCTTTCCTAATAGCAGGATCAATATAATTTACTACAAATACCAGGGACTTTGCATTAGAAGGAATCTTTTTCTTCAAACGAACCCCCCTAGTGGGCTGTCAGCCAGACTGATCCAAAATGCTTCTATTCATCTTTTCTGAGGAGAAAGAGGCTTTGTCTAAAACAGAGTACAGTTTGAAGGGAACAAAAATATCCATCACTCAGTTTGCCTTTTTTCGCCCCCACCCCATCACTCCAGTGTTTACAATTTTAGAATTAAAAAGGTACTTGAAATAAAACTCAGACCCACGGTTTGATCCGAGCCAAAAGTTAAAACGTCCATGTTAAAAACAAGCGATTGCGACGTCAGGGTTCTTTTGCGTGGTCCAACTAAAAACTAAACTGACAAGTACTGTATTGCCCTTTTAACGTGCCACTATGCACCAGCGGCATGCTTTGTGCACAGTGACGATGCATTCCTCTAACCTGACCCTCCGTCAGGCCGTCAGCTGTAAACACAGCAAAGAGAAATCAACACTGTTCATTTGTATTGAACATAAAGCATGAATGTTCTTTCTGGCAATCACGGAGGTACTCCATACACATATACTCCGGGACTGCGCCTATCTTACATTCAGTCAACCAAAAGGACGTCTTATGTACACACAAGCTGTTCTTCATCAGAAGACCGCGGATGAGAACTCGAGGAGGGTCACATTTGAGAAATAAATCGGCAGGAAGTCAAGCGGCCGTGGTGGAGCTTCTCTGCCTTCGCTGGTACAACAAAAATCCTTGTTACGATAATGTTGAGCATTACAATGGTTATTTGTGTATCGCACTTTGTTAAGGCTACACCCAATGATATGACATACACCTGTTAAAACACACCAAGCACATAATATCTGCATAAAAAGGCAATGGTTAGTGCGCAGCAGAGTGTTGGTTTCACCAGACCGGGCTTCCTTCAGTATTACACATCACGTGACTCCCCATCAGTGACAATGACGTAAGACATTTTCTGTGCCACTTGGGTCACCAACATTCTGTAACCACGACAGTTTAGAGGAAAAACATCCACTGTGACAGAAAAACGGCCTTGTCTTTGTAGATACATCTGATACACAATAATAAAACATTAAGGAAAAAGGCTAAATAAAACTGGGAAAAAAAGATGCGTGCACGCAACAGAAAAGGGGGGGTGGGGGGGTTGCGGGGGGATCGATACATGGCCAAAATGGGATTGTCCACTCATCGCCTACTCCATGGAAGTCCTGGTTAACAATAACACGACTGTGGGTAATTCTTGACCAAATGGAGGGAAGAAAAAAATAAAACACTTAGTAGCAATATTTACAGACAGTGTACCTCTAATGTTGTTCGAGGCAAAGAATGCCGGTCAACCAGATGGCTTCACAAAAGGGTCCTGATCAAGCTACCGTTGCCATGGTGACATCAAATGAAACACAGCTGCCACGACCGGCAGGATCTGGTTGACGCGAGCCATATTTGGACCTAAGTGACACAATGAAATGCTTTTCCTTGCAACTATGTCCCTGTATGTCAATTACAAAAAAAAAAAAAAAAAAACTGCCGTCATTACAGAGTACCAACAAATGTGGACGCACTGGAACAATAAAAACTGAGTAAGTACAAAACAGGAACACTCTTCATCACAGAAAAGTCTCATTGTTAAAAAAATATGGTGGGGAGAAAAGAAACAGTTAAAACGAAAGCAACAAATGTCCCGCAGTTATTAGTAATCCAAGACTGGAGCCGCATGGTCAGTCTTCGCTCGAGCCACTCAGCATAGAGCGAGCGGTGCGCCCGTCGGCCTGGCCTGTGTCTGGCGGCCTGGTAGACGCAGCCAATGTGGAATGTCAGACGGCCAGACGACCCGGAGGGGGGTGCATGGGGCTCCAGGTTGGGGGGGCGGGCGGCGCTTCTTGGGCATACTGGCGTGGTTCACAACACGGTTGGGTCTCCACTTTTGCTACACCGCGGCCCTGGCACAGCCGGCGGTGCCGCAGCAGACGGTCTGTCCTGGAAAAGTTCTTTTGGAAAAACAACAAGTGGATTTTTTTGAGGACAAGTGTTCCTTCCATACATGCGCCAGCTTTAAATACAAGTTGTAAAAATAGCGTAGCAAGAAAATTTATTTGACTAAGAAAAACATTTTTCATTTCAAAAGACGGGAGTGTATTGGTACACGAACTAATGAATCGGTTTTAATATATCTTGAACAGGCCTCTGGCCAGATCAAAAAGTTATAAAACGGTTTGATGTTGAAGATATATATTTTTTTCTTGACAATTTTATGTAATTTAACGAACAGTTTGGGCTTTGGAGAGCATTTACACGTTAGTACCTGTACATGTTATTCAAATAAATCCAAACATGAACCACATTACCAAAAAAAAAAAACTAATAATATTAAAAATAAAATAAAATATTCCTGAAAAATAAAACAAAATATGTTGTGCTCACCTGCTGGCAGCGCTCACACTGGTAAGGCTTCTCGCCGCTGTGCACGCGTTTGTGTCTCTCCAGGTGGTAACGCTGGATAAACCTCATATCGCACATGTCACACGCAAACGGCTTCTCCCCTAGCAAAAAGCACACACAACAGAGTCAATGCGTCATTATTTGCTTTTTTTTCCCCCTTCTTTGCACCACTAAATTGTGTCAGACTGTCTTTGAGGACTAGCATTGCAGCAATAGTGGGCGGAAAGCCTTATCTGTAACTAATACGTGTTTGGATGGTCAAAAGGCCTGCTCATCAACTCATTATGTGTAGATCAGAGTGGAGTTATCATGGCCCAGATGCACGCAACAGCATCTGGGCTTGCGTCTGATGCTGGTTCAACATCCCATCAAAGTGGAGGTTGCGGTGTGGCGCGGGGCGGGCGGCAGTGGTGGGGGCGCGGCAACGGAACGCATACCCGTGTGAGTGAGGCTGTGTCTCTCCAGGTGGTTACGCTGAATAAACCTCATGTCACACATGGAACAAGCATACGGCTTCACCCCTACACACACAGAGCAGCGTATTAGGCCTACCCGCCACACACCACACAAGGTCAAGTAACGTGCAACATCACCTCAGCCACGCGTACACACACACACACACACACACACGTGCGCACGCACACACACAGACACACACACAATGCGGAAATGTTATCAGATAGAACTATGTGGAGACAGCTGGAACAGAATATGTCAAGCGCACTGCGTCAGATTAACAATGAAGTGTTCTACATGTTCTGGAAGAGCCCTCACGTTTATTTGTCCCACATTCATACAGGAGGGTCATAAATGTGTGCTAATTTGTACATGTATGGAGTCCTTTCAAGGGCAAGGGGCCATATTTGGTCAATGGGGGTCAAAATGATTCCTCACGATATAAAGGTAACGGGCACTGAGATTTCTCCCAGCCGATCAGTGAAGATAGGATAAGAATAGAAATCATCGAAGAAAAGTGTATTGTAGTGCGTGACGGATATTCGGCATTTTGACGAACATAGACATTGGCCTTAAAAAATATATCTTTAAAAAAAAAATCAGATAGCTGAAAAGAGATCAATTTAAAACTGCATGAACTGAAAATGTAAATTAACTTTATAAGAGATCCCGCTGACCGTGAAAACTCGCCGCACCTTTTGTTATTGTTGGAAATCGAAACAAAGATAATGGAAAGTTTAACATTTAAGTTATTTAGAAATGTAGAAATAACTTTATTTACTTTCGAAAATAATCGGGACCAATTTCCTTGTTTATGTCATTTAACTTTTGAGACCTGCTGATGAGCTCCCACAACTTTTTGTTTGAATTTTAAAACATATCTCTAAGTTTAAAAAAAAATGCATGTCGCAAATCTAAAAAAAAAAGCTGTTCAATAAACATACGCGTGAAGACAATTCAACTAAGTTATAAGTCGGAGTTTGTATTCTTTAAAAATTTGACACCAATTTCTTCTGTTTTACTGAAAAGAAATATCGGCTCCAAATATCAATATCAATGGTTTCCTTGACCACTAATAATTGGCATTGGCCCTGAAAAAAACTTAGTCTATATCTAATGTATTGTACTGGGATATCATTTAAAAAAAAAAAAAAAAGCTTACAAATGTTAAAATGTATTTCAGTAATAGAATTCTGAATTTCAAAGTACAGTATTTCAATGGACGTCCAAAAAAAGGCTGAGCTCAGTGTTACTGTGCTGCACCGCAAAAATAAGCGTTTTCAACTGGAGTGGTGACAAATGTAAAGTGTGAGCTGCATAAGTACAGAGAGTGCGCAAAACTTCTATTTGTGTTAAAAATGGAACAAAAAGAAAAAAAAACTCCCACAACTAGTTAATCTAATTCGCAAAACTAATTGCAAGCCACTGGGTCTGCTTGCAAAGCAACCCGAGTGGGAAAACAAGATGGAGGATTACATAAATCCACATCTGTGACGCGCCTTGGCTGAGATCTACATTTGGATGTTCCACGATGAGCATGTGTGATGATCAATACAGGTTGGCTGGTGGTGTCGTTAGCTTCAACCGGCACGAGTAAAAAAGCCTCGTGGAGGCGTTTTTTTTTTTGGGGGGGGGGGGGGGGTTGGTAACGATTAGAGGGAATGCTCTAAATAAGTGTTCGCATTTCTGGCAGCGTGGAAGCTACGCTCTTGGAAAGATTGCGTCAAAGTGACTGGAAAGATGAGAGGGGGGCAGGTGTACGGACCCCTACCCGTATGAGTGAGGCTGTGTCTCGCCAGGTGGTAGCGCTGAACAAACCTCATGTCACACATGGTGCACGCAAAAGGTTTCACACCTAAACGCAAAGCATTAAGACATTAATTTTCAGGACTTGTCATTTGGCTCCATCATCCCTCGATTTCGTCAAATTGCCATTGATGGGTTGTTAACCGCGTTTCAGTGCTCAATCCAAGGAAATAAATTGAAGTTGTGTTTGATCAATTTTCAAATCCACAGCTAACACAACATGAGCTGATGATGTCACACTCCACTCTTGTTTATTTATCTGGTGTTTGTGATTCAAACATGATGCAGAAAACGCTGAATGGCACGCGAGCAAATCCGCCTTTGGTCAAATAATCACAATCGATAATCATGGAAGTTGGGTCAGTGTCATTGTTTAGGTGGGCGGGTGCATACCCATATGAGTGAGGCTGTGTCTCGCCAGGTGATAACGCTGAAAAAACCTCTTGTCACACATGGTGCAAGCATAAGGTTTCACACCTAAATGCAAAGTGGCAATTGTTACATGACTTCGGCTCCATTTTCATTCTTTGCCTTTACATCCCGACGCTATTGGTTATTAACCACACAGTCGCCAATTCATGCACAAAACCCGATTTCGTTCAGCCTCTCGGTGGCGCGTTTAGCGGCATTGCGACACTGCAGTTTGCATCAGAAACAACACCGTCACCACGATAACATGGCGCAGTTCTCAACCGCTCATTACCTACACGTATCTACCACTAACAGATAGGCCAATCCTCCCCACTTTCCCGAAATGCCCAGCAGGCAGAAATCGGCACAACCACTGACATCGCGGATATCTACGAGTGATCTGAGTCGCATTGTGAATTCATGTGCATGAGCTCGCAACACAGACATGTCGTATAAGTGATGTGTCTGTCAGACTGTGTGGCGAGATAACACACAGAGGCAATGGAGGACGCATTATTTTGAAATATGAAGGGCCTGTATGTGTCGGGAAATGTCAGGGGTCAGGCTGACCTCGGTCATCCTGGACATTCTGGGAAATTAGAAGGGTTGGCATCTCGGGCTCGAATACTCCCACGGTAACTGTTGCATTGTGAAAACACACGACAATATCCTAAGAGAGCGGCCTCCATTTTCTTGACGATGATTGCCTTCAACCGCAAAACTAACACGGCCGTAATATGAATGTGCCGAAATGCCTTTTTTTAGTTAACATGTGTGGCCTTTAATCAAAGAAGTATTTTAAATGAGGCGGTGTGTGCTAAAAGCCTAATGGGCGGTAAGGGTTCAAAACGATCGAGGGGCAGGTGCATCGACGCATACCAGTATGAGTGAGGCTGTGTCTGGCCAGGTGGTAGCGCTGAACAAACCTCATGTCACACATGGTGCAAGCGAAAGGTTTCACACCTAAACGCAGAGGTATTACAGGTATTACTTTCACACTTTGGTTTTTGGTGTTCACAATCCAACAGTGATGCAATGTGCTTCTCTACTCAGAATTGATGGGTTGTCAACCAACATTTTCAAGAAATAAAGCAAGCTTTTGTGTTTGTTTGGTTTTTTTATGTCCAATCTCGGTACAAAATATGATCGGTAGCTGTATAGCTACAGTGTATTTGCAGATATGATCAGAATTTAGGTGTCCGTCTGATAGAGCTGTGTGTGATGCCATGTAAAGTCAGATGTGACTTAAAAGTGTCATGGGCAAGGTGGGCGCATACCCATATGAGTGAGGCTGTGTCTCGCCAGGTGGTAGCGCTGAAAAAACCTCTTGTCGCATATGGTGCAAGCATAAGGTTTCACACCTAAATGCAAAGTAGCAACATTGTAATTTATTTTTTTTTGCTTCACTTTGCAGTTTTTGTCTATGTAAACATACCTACGCTATTGGTTATTAACCACACATTTCCCAATTAATGCAATGAGAAGATCTCAATCTGTTGACATTTCTGGCAGAAAAGATTTAGCAATAGTGGCTTTAGATTTTGTGGCCTAATCAAACATTCCTACAGGTAAATGAAACGCTAGCCATGGCAAGCTCAGGTCAAACATCACAAACAAGGCCGTCAGAAGCAAGTTTGACCAAATGTCTATCAAATCCGTGACTGAACGGTCAGTGGGGGTTCACCGCTGCTAGTTAAAGAGACTTACTTGACTGGCAATCAGGGTCTCGAAAGTTGAAGCAAATAACACAAAAGATAAAAGATACTCATAGAGAGCCTGTTGGTTATTGTTTCGACGTCGTCTGCCCATAAAAACTGTACACTTAACTCTCTCCAGAGGTTGTAACTGTTCACAAGCTTTAAGTTTGACTTTTGGCACATCCAAACAACAAGGCGACCCACCGTCTTTACCTCCTCGGACAAGCATTCTATGCCCATGTTTGTAAAGTTTGAAGATGTTTAAAGTAGGGCCGCACGATATTGGAAAAACATGCGATATGAGGGTTATATGATTGCGATATTTAACATATTCCAGAAGAAAAATGACATTTTTATCATCTCACGAAATATTTTTTTTTCATGCAGCAAAATAAGCAAGCCCATTTTATTCTTAGTGAATTAACCCTTTCATGCACCAATAATGATAACTTGTAACCTGATAACAGCTGTCCACTGTAGTAACCGCTGTCCATGAAAGTGTTAAATGTTAATGCCCCTAAATACTGTTCCAGTATTGGATGGCGGTTGCATCTGATTGGTCCAAGTCTGATAAAAGCATACAATTTTATCAGTCAATTAATGCACATCTCTGCGATATGCATATTGCATGGGCAAATATTGCGATAACAAGATATTGTGCGGCCCTACTTTAAAGTATTTATTCTAATACAGCACAGGTACGATTCCAATTAAACAACAGCCAGCAGCAAAAAAATATAGCACGGGAATATGTAACTAATACGATGTCCCTAATAATATTAATACCAGCCACCAGAAGTATTGATTTGTTTGTCTATTTTACATTTGCTCTCTCTATGAATACAGAGCGCACGACATAGTAGGTAATCTGTTCCTGTGGGTTTTTATTTTCAATGACTACATTGTTGTAAAGGAAATAATCACAACTATAGGAATAAATACATTTTCACTACAAAAATTACAGGAGCCTACTCTTTCATGCACCCTGTTAACCTGATAACACAATAAGCTGTCCACTGTAGTCACCGCTGTCCCTGAAAGGATGAAAAACCAAAAGATTTCCTCTATTCCCGTATCAGACATGGTAAGTTACACATGAGTGATTTCCTGATGTGAAGTGACAAATGGAAAGGTGCACACAGAATGTACTGGGCACGGTGTACGGACCCATACCCGTATGAGTGAGGCTGTGTCTCGCCAGGTGGTAACGCTGACAAAACTTCATGTCACACATGGTGCAAGCATAAGGTTTCACACCTAAATGCAGAGCATCAACAGCATTAATGTGTGTCTCTGCACCAAAAGCAACAAGAAATCGTCAAGTGTTGAAAAGCAACTCATCCGGACCAAATTGATGTCTGTGGTTAATAACCAATGTCATACCCTAACAATAATGACATGGGCAAAGGCTGAGCTAAAAAAAAAAAAAAAAAAAAAAAAGGTGGTTGTAGGGAAATGACACCATTTTCTGATCCACTTACTTTACACGAGTCAATAAAGTCAGTGGTGCTGATACCCTAAATCTTCCCCATCAACAACGTGTCAGAAGACAGACATTTAACACATGTTGCAGCATCCTAACAGTGTGACTGTCTTAAGATTGGCAGGCGCATACCCATGTGAGTGAGGCTGTGTCTCGCCAGGTGGTAGCGCTGAAAAAACCTCTTGTCACACATGGTGCAAGCGTACGGCTTCACCCCTACGCACACAAAGTACCAGCTTTAGCGTGGAAAAGAAATGATTCAACTGCCGAAAATGATCGCCGCTAAACTTTACTAATTGTTTAGTAAAGTTTTGGTGCACTAATCAGCGCTTAGTTTGCTGCAGAGATTCCACCAGGTGAGGAGGTACATCTGCCATTCCAATTCGACATGACTTTGCTCGACGACTAGGACTGCTAATTCTACAGTCGGTGTTCGAATTTCTAAATGTTGATGGACAATAAAAATCATCCGGAGAGCAAAAAGGAACCAATCTGCAAACCGACAAACCTTCATATCCAAAGGAATAATTGAGGTCCTAAATGGACACATTTCACCAAGAACAAAAGCCAATAAGAGATTTCCTCATTTCTACAGATTTATTTTTCAACGCTGATCGCAGGTTAGACAATTTTAGGCAGTTGTCAAGCTATGCACAATATATAAGAACGTAACATCTGCAATGTAAAATCAGACATAAAATGGAACACTGTAAATAACTGTAGAGGACTGATCTAAAAAGCCTTGTTGATCTGTTAGGGCTGGGCGATATCAATATATATATATCGCGATCGACACGTGATTCATATCAATAGAAAATGCCTTTGATAATGGCACTACGTGTGTTGTTGGCACGGACATATGGGGCAGCTGACTCCAAACAACGAAGCAGCAGCAGCTAAAACAACGAAGAAAACGTGTGTGCATGTGCGCGCATTCGGCGTATTCACACAGTGTAACTTCCTTCAAAAAAAAATAAAATTAAAAATAAGACCAGTCGGCTCAGCACAACTCTGCAATAAGATGATATCATCCATAGTAACCCGATTAAACACCTCCGGAAGGATGTGTAGTACAGCAGTAGAGGCGTTCCCTGTCTTAGAATGTATTAGCCAAGCACGACCCTCCAGCATCGCATTCAACTCATAATCCAGGCAAGGGAAACATGAATGGACGATGGCAATACTTAGCCCGCTTAAGACAAAGACATCCTAAAATGGTTGCTCAACAGTAATGGAGGAGGTTCACCACACTTACATTGTCAGGACATTGAATGAAGGTTAAGGTAAACGATTGACAATGCTCCTTTTGGGTCGCGTCTTCCTCAAATAAGTATTCACGCTGCACTGCTGAAGGAGCGCCACATAACAAACAATGTAAACACCGAAACCAGTTAATTACCTTATTTTAAATCAGTAAAAAAATATTTAGAAAGTAAAAATGATCAATATTGACTGATATGAACTTATATTGTGAAACATTTTTCAGCTATACCGCCCAGCTGTACTAAGCACGTTATGTTTGAGAAGGCATTCGTTTGATCTTTATATCGACCAGTTTGTTTGACTTTTTCATAGTTGTGTTGATCTCTTATTAAAGCTCACATTTTGTCTTTTCAAATAAAATTACCTCAAGTCAACGTTGCTTTTCAATAAACAAAAATGAAATACGTGTTTTCAGTCATATCGCCCAGCCCTATGATCTGTAAATCATTTGTGTTTCTGTGAAAATCATCCTTTCAGAGAAAAAGTGACAAAAGACAATGTCAGTCAATTGAATGAGCAAGGACATAATAAATTGGCCTGCATGGAGTGGTGTTGTTGAAATACATTCTAATTAGCTTCTGACCTAGAACGACCCGAAATGAATAATTTCTGTCACCCCTCACACAGATTTAATGTCAAGTAAGATGGTGAAATAATTGCCGGATATCTACAAATAAAGGCCTACGTATCAAACACGTGAGCTTCAGTTATGACGTACGATAGAAGCTTCAAAATGTATGATTCCGCAATACAACCAAAACGCAACAATTAAATCCCATGAAGCAAACAGTCGTTCAACGCCATCAAACTATACAACTGCTCATCAAGTATACAGTTGACATGACACAATTCATTTGGTGACATGTGGTAACATAATTTCAAGGAAGCCGTATGACCATGACAGTGTGCCCCACGCCACATTTAAACAAAAAAGGGACCTACCTGTGTGAGTGAGACTGTGTCTTTCCAGTTGGTAACGTTGTATAAACCTCATGTCACACATGGTACAAGCATATGGCTTCACTCCTGAATGGAACACAAGAAGGGTTAGATGCAATTTTCCAAACATCAAAAAGGCGACATGCAAAAAGATGCATAGACATGCTACTGGCTGCTAGCAAACTGAACGTACAATGAGACATTACGCCAGAAAAGAACTGGCAGACATCATAAGCTAAGTTGTACGATTACCAAGAAGCAGATCTTAAGAAAATAAAACACAGGAGGTACTTTAATAATGTTCAGTCTTAGTGCAGATGTTTTTGAGCTTGACGTTTTTGCAAATGCACCATTTCAGTGGTCAAGAAGCCAAATGTGGATTCAGTCGGGAGAAATGGAACTTCTCTTTTGGGTATTTCAGACTACTGATGTCTGCCATTGAATCTTTATTTGTGTAATGTGCTCGATGTTGCTGGTGTCATAAAGTGCTCAATGATAACACATGCTAGAATAATAACATTACAGTTTGCAATCACAAGGAGGGACATTTTTTTTTTCGGTGGACGGTTTTCCAACAAAGCCTACAGTTTTAGTGGAAAATTTCCACCAATTGCAAAATGATCTTGTAGGAAACGGGACTTAAGAAATAAGTTAGACATGTTGTTGCTTGGTTATATTTCAATGTTTTCAAGGAAAAGGGGAACAAATGCAGCATACCGGTATGAGTGAGGCTGTGTCTTGCCAAATGGTAACGTTGGAAGAACCTCATGTCACACATGGAGCAAGCATACGGCTTCACCCCTGAATGCATACAGTACCAAACTTTATTAAAGTGCTCCTGTCAGCTACAAACACAAATGAATGTTGACATGTATAAGTTAGTTTGGGGCCATGACATACTACCAGGTCTAACGAGTTCCTAGTTACACATTAATGCCGATACTGTAAGTAAACCAAAAATAAGTCATGAAAGAACTGTACAAAATGAAAGGGCCCTTATTTGTCTTGAGCTGCTTTTCCACTGTGTGGCACCTACACGGCGGGGCCTCAGCTTGAGTGGATCTGTTGGATTTTCATTTAAAAAAAAAAAAAAAAAAAAACAGTCGTGCTAACAAACAATAAATGGAGACTTTATTCGAAAGGATGCCGTCACGAGCATGAAAACAGACACTGGAGCGCTCAGAACTACAGCACAGCAGCAGGGTACGCAAACATTAGACGGTGTGTTGTTTTCCCATCAATTCCAGCCTTTTCCCCAAATGTTACAAAAATGCAACACCGACAAATCTGCAGCCGTTTGCACCACATGGTCTCGTCACGTCATGCTTGGACCCTCAACCGACCAGGTACGGGAAGTAGTACCTGGCCACGACAGTGGAAATAGGTCAATAGTGAGTAGAGCCGTGTAGGTAGCGCGCAGTGGAAGGGCGTTTGTGTCCCAGTGCTCTGACAGTTAGGGTGAGGCCGAGACACTCGAACACTCCGATGCGTGGTAAGGTCAGAGGGGGTGAAAATAAACATGTACCCGTATGTGTGAGAGTGTGTCTCGCCAGGTGGTATCTCTGGAAAAATCTCATGTCACACATGGAGCAAGCATATGGCTTCACCCCTGTACACACAGAGCAAATTTTTTTTTTTTTGTAAAAAGAAAAAAAAAAAACAAACACCACAAATGATCTCAAGAGGACACACCCGGTTATTATGTATCCAGACATGCCAAAGGCGGTGGCATAAGTACACTTTATGCACTGAGCTATTGTTTTATAGTCGTTCACAATACGTCTTGAAGGAGTTCAACATGTTTGTCTTCGCGCTAAGGTCAAAGTTATCTCTCTGGAACAACTGCTTCGAGGCTTAGGTCAAATAGTAACAAGAACTAGCAGGCAACAGGCCTGAGAAGACCAGTGAAGATCATTCTTGAAATAAGGAAGCGTTAATGACCACTAGGCCAGCAGGAAGGTTTAAATGAATCAAGGAAGAGCAACCTCATACCCGTGTGAGTGAGACTGTGTCTTGCCAAGTGGTAGCGTTGGAAAAATCTCATGTCACAAATGGAGCAAGCGTATGGCTTCACCCCTACACACAAAAAGTATGTCAGCAGAGGCTAGAAACACAACAAACCAGAACCATCAACTCTTCCCTCAGGTACAGCTCAGCTCCTCTTATACATCCACACATCCTCCCAGCTGGGTCTAATTATATCCCCCAAATTATGTCAGCCACATTAAAATGTGTCCAAACATTTTGAGAGGGGACAAAGTAGTGACTGCGTGGAACAAAGTAGAGCGCTCAGCGGGGGGAAAAGCTGATGTTTCGTACATTTACGTGGATACTTAACACTAGAATTATTTGATGTTTGGCTGTTGGAACATGTCTGGATACATCTTCATTCTTCCTAACATTTCAAGTCAAATAAAAAATTTGAAAGTCAATTGTGGCATGGTCGTGTTTCTTTCTGCTGTTGAACGAGCGGATAAGTGGAGGCACTTCTACCGGAGAAGCTAGTGTATGTAGACGCATACCAGTATGAGTGAGGCTGTGTCTTGCCAGATGGTAACGTTGGAAGAACCTCATGTCACACATGGAGCAAGCGTACGGCTTCACCCCTACATACACAAAGTCACACATTAGCTACGACCTCGCTTTGGCATTAAAAGGGACAGTCATTAAAGGCTTGTTTGGGTCCAATTGTGTCATCTGCGATTCGGAAGCATTCGTTGCGTGGAGTTATGACACAAAAACAGCCACAGGATGTGAGCCAAGCATGCGTGAACGAGACACACAAGGCAGCAGCAGCAAGACAGCAAAGAAAACGCGCAAGACAGCGATCACACTGGCCAGCGGAAGCAGATACACTTGCATCACTAGTGACTATGATGAATGACCTTTTCACCACTGGGGAAGGGGTGTTGTTTGAGACGATTTGTTTTGGTTTTCTTTTTTTAGGCATAACCTGCCTCGCAAACTGCTAAAGCTTTTCAGTCAATTCCTGCTCCAAACTCACATCATTGAAATTTTGCCGAAAGCCTCAACTAAAAAAAAAAAAAAAAAAGCCAGAGATAATTACAGCTTAGCCACATGAGCGGCAGCCATTAATGTGCATATATAGATGTGGGTGGACATCAAAGGACTAATTGGGAACACGGCAGGAAACTGCTTCAGGCAAAATGCACCAGACTGGAGGATAATTCTAATACAACCACTTTTTACCAGCACGACAATAATAATGAATACAGTGGTTCATTCCACCTCACCTACCATAATTTGAATGACAGACATGCAAAATCATGATCCGCCATGGATTATTGGAACTGGTCATCTTTAACAAAACGATTACACCATTAAATAAAGTGAATGTATCAAAAGAATGAAAACTAATATCGTGGTTACAACTCCATTATTAACATCACACCAAAAGTGTCCATCTTAAGTAAAATCGTGTAACTGAGATGTCAAGATGACAGGTAGCAGCATGGTTAAGACAAGGTTCTTGTTTCGTGTCATCTGACATCCACGTTTTCTGAAAATAACTCTAAAATTAAAGCACCAATCTAATGAAAGATTTAATATGACCCCCCCAAAAAAACAAACAAAAAAACCCATAGTCCTTTGATGTCCATGCAGGGCTTCTCAATATATATATATATATATATATATATATATTTTTTTTTTTCTCTTTTAAAGAAGTGCACATCTGGCCTATTCCTTGAGGACAAACACTGTGGTCCACGAGTTAGATTTCAAGTCCACTATCAAGAAAACTTGCTTTTATATCTTTTCTTCTTAAAATGTGTGCGGGCAATTGTTTAGTGCAAAATTCTGTGATCATTTGATTCCACATGCTGAGTGCACCTCTATAACTTATGCTTATGGAACACAAGATGAGACGGGTGTTTGGGGGGGGGGGGGGG